ATCGCCAACCAGGACTTGTATAATTAATTGGTAGCTGTGAGTTTTTTACGATGACTGTATTTAGATGTCTATTTGAGGGTTTTTCTAAAACTTCCGGGGTCTGGACCCTCCCTTTCACAGGCCCCTCTAGTCGTTTAAAGCTTTCCTTTCAATCTGTGTCTTCTGGGTACGCGGATGCTTATTTTCAAATTTCCTTTTTGGGCCTTGACCTTCGAGTTTCGATGCGTTAGCTTGATATTTCTTTCCCCCATATGAGCGATTTCCATTTCTTGTTTCCTCCTTCCTTCTGGTACTTTGAGAATATGTTTCCCCTCTCGCTCTTTCCGCGATTCTGCGATTTTGAAACTTCACCGCCAATTCGAAAAGTTCCTGCAATGTGGTTGGGTTTTTAATTTCAAAGTAGTCTTGGACAGCGGGTAACAATCTTGGTAATATTATTTCAACTATCTCCGCATCGGGTTTTTTCCCATACAACATATCCGTTAGTTTGATTTTTCGTAAAATAAAGTCCGTCAATTGTGCTGTATCCCGTTGATAGAAACTATATAGCTCGGCTTCCAGCCGTGCGCGATCTTTCACTATGGGGAAGGCCTTTACTAACGATTTTTTGAAATTTTCAAATGTATACGTCGGGCTTCCAAATTCACCTAGTAGAAATTTTCCTATATTTTCCACCATAGCGCGGCCTGTCCTCTTAGTGCTGATGTGGCGATGGCAACATTTTCACAGGGTAGAGCTGAAAGTGGTTTTCTATACCTTCGAGAAATACCGCCACCGAATTTATTCCGTCGAAATAGACGTTTGGCTTGATTGATGCTCTCAAAGTCTGGACCAGGTATCCAAATCCTTCTAACTGCGTTGTCATTTCTTGGTGTTGTCCAGCGGCTTCCATCCAATTTTCGGTCATTTCAGTTCGATAAGTGTTCGGGCGCCAATATAACGTTGCGCGCCTCTAACTAGCACGCAACCAAGAGGTGACTGTGAAAGCTTGTATAAACCACAGAGTCTTGTAAAGGGTTTAAGTCCCTTTTTATTCAACGTACTAAATTACAATTGCGTCCTCTTGACGCTTACAAACTGTGCCAACTAGGCAGTCAAAATAAAAATAATAACCTGAAAAGAAAATAAAGACAAGATTCTAACTACGAGGCTCTCTAAAATAACTAACTCCCCGCGTTTTACAATACGGCTGCTAATTCAGCAGACTTGAAGCTCACTGGAACAATTTCCACTAATTCCCTTCCCCGCCAAGCACATAGGCCGCAACGCGGGTTCTTCAATTTCTCGATACTACTACCTCCGCGCTCGCTAAGTAAGAATAACCTCTCTCACCGAACTCGTTTCCTTCTATTTAAATCATACTACTACTTCCGCTGATAATTTGAATGCTTGCGCGTTCTACTCAAATTTACATATTCTGGCATTGGCAGTTCCAGGGGAAAGTAAGGCCTGACAGGAAAGATAGTTTAAACTTAAAAAAATGTTAGTTAAAGTAAATATAAACCCTACAATACGATAAAAATGAAAGATTATGATTCCAAAGTTATGTCTTTTTTGCAAACAAAAAGCAGAACAGTTAATTACACTAGCGAAAGGAACCTTTTCAACTTATTTGCATTTGTATGAAAATTAACTGAGAATCTGAGAGCAACATAATGATTAGTATTCATATTTTGTACTTTTAAAATTACTTATCTTTAGCTAAAAATGGGAAGTAAAAGGATAAAGACAAGAAATGATAATGATAATTGTAAATTAAGTTGAAATATTAATTATTCTGATAATTCATACGTCTATTTACTGATATGATGCATAATCTAAGCATAAAAATGTCGTTTTATAATTCTCAATATAAATTACGAAGAAGACAAAATCAAAGTTTCGTTGCAGCAATAAAATGTCTTTGAAAGATTTTTTACTTCGTATTTTGCGCAATAGTTAAAAATTATAGCGAGGAAACAATTATGCTTTTTAATACAGAAAGAAAAATATTTTACTGGGGAAATATACAAGAAACATTATATATCAAACAGCAAAAATATTTTTAAAATATCTTATAAACGTATTTTTCCAGACGATGAAGTGTTTAAGATGTATATTCGTTTATTACAATTGCTGCTAAATAGTCGCCTATATTAATCACGTGTTAATATGTAAGAGACATAATATGTAATATTTATGACATCACATAATTAATTATTCATTTCCATAAAAAATTTCTATGCTTTTACATAATTTCATTTTACGTTTATTTTGAAATAAAAAAAATATTTTTGTTTTCATACTAAAGCATTTCACAAAGTAGTTTAAACTTCGTTATGCAAACTTACAGAGAGGTCGAAAATACAGCAAGAAGCCACATTCTTATAAAAATATACAGGGTATCTAGAAAATGTTGCGACAAACTTCTGGAGGAGGTACGGCACATCATAAGGATTAAGAATTGCATAGGAAGCCATGCCCGGAAATGTCAGGAGTAAGTGGTAGCAGACATAGAAGATGGGGAAAGAAACAAGAGTGATTAATTTGAAACATTTATTGGACATGAATACAAATGGTGTACCACAGCCTGAATATTACAACAGATGCCCATCAGACACAAACATGCCTGACTCCGACAGACCATTTATTGCCGGACATGTTCAAACCCAGCGGGAGTTTCTTTGATTGTAGCAGCTGCGCAGGCGAGTCTTGCCACGAGATCCATTTCAGACACAAGAGGATCGTGATACACGACACTTTTGATGGCTTTCCACAAAAAGAAATCAAGGCTCGATAAATCCAGTGAGCGTGGGGGGCCAGGGCACCGGTCCACCACACACAATCCATCGATGCAGGAATGATCTATTGAAATGGCTATGAACATCCAGTACAAAATGAGTCCACTTCTTAATGACCCGTATTCGCACAAATTTTGATGCAGACGTGCAAACAAATTGTGGTATGGTTGATGTCTGTTGGAGAAGCGTTCTCGATAAATGCGTGAAGTGGTTCGTCTATTACCCTCAGCTATTCCATACACTAAGTGCATGTCTGCAAGCTCCCGTTTCGTATAGCGTTTCATGCTCTTCATATGGTGCCTACCGCTCAAATGAGGCAATCGTCACTTTCCACTATCAATCTCCTGTACAACAACCCCCTGGCGGCTTGCAATGACGTTTCTGAGCATGTGTTCCTATGCAATTCTTAACCCTTATAATGTGTCTTACCTTCCCGAGAAATGTGCTGCAACATTTACAGGGCAGCCTGTATATCCAGAAATATCATTCGAAATATAAGTTTAGAAATACCTTTGTACGTTAGAGGCTGCTATTTGACAACAAATCAATTGAGATTTAGGAAACAACCATAATTTGAGTCGTTGATTCAGTATAATTAGGATGCATTGCTCACAACTTCAGAGATGAATTGCATATATTTAAATGGCTATGGAGCAGGGAAAGGAAACAAATGAGTCGCGATATCATTCCATCGTCAAATACACCTCAACAAAGGTAATCCCATTCAACAGGCAATTGCGCTTTTTCACCAGAGATTACGTCGCTTTTGATAATTCAATGGAACGGGGCTACATTATTGCCGTGGAAAAAGACTGAGGTGCAACCTTAATTAGATTGTTTACACAAAAATGAGAGCAAAGTAGTTACAAATACCTAATCTTTATCATGACACCGGTGTCTTTCAGTACAGCATATTGCTAATACTGCATGAAGAGCGCTTAATATCTCTCTCTCATATGCAAATGAACTAACCTTAGATAGGTAGGAGAATAAAGCCAATCAATATTCAATATTCAAAAAGCATATATGATTGCACGGGATTACCTACGACCTACATGAATTCATAATACAGTATGCTACAAGGATTCACCGCAGATGGACTTACAAGATATATTTTGGGGTTTTTTTCTAGGGATGGGGGAAATGCTACCTGATGTTAAAACTACATTTTGCAATCACATTAGTTTCCACATAACAGTACTGAATACAGTAATTAATCGCGAGAGCATTTTTCAGTGTTGATGTGAAGAATTACTAGGACAGAACATTTCCCATACGATCGATGTGATTTTCTTCTCTGAATGAATTTCTTCTGATTTCTGAATGAATCTGTGTAAGAGGCCCTTGGAAAAATTTTTGCTTATTTCAATGGAAATATCTATGAAACAGTTGAACGTAGCAGTTTGGTGAATGCGTGTTCACCAAGCACTGCCGAAGAAAAAGGTATATTTCCATTGATAGAAAGTGTGCATCATATCGCCATGCTGAAAGCATATAGTTAATAAATATGTTATAATGCCATCTATGCAGTCCCTTATTCTCATTAATTATTTATTTTCTGTTCTATCTGGGGGCATTTTCGGACGTATATTTCTTCATGAATGCGTTTTGTTGGTGTGAGCCAGACCTGACTATGAAATGTGTGTTATAAATTTCGAATAAAACGTATCAATTGTTTTTGATATAAATTAAGTTCAAAAGAAAAAAATTAAATGCCAAAATTCTGAATTCTCTTAAATATTTACATTGTTTTATAACCGATGAAATGTCAGGGTATACAGTAGTTCTTACACTAATTTACATTTACTAGGATAAGTTTCGCAGTTTCTTGGAGACAAAAGGCATCTTTGTATTCCTTATTAGCACTAAAAGGAAGTATAAGAATTTGAATTTTTTATTTCTTGGCCAGACAAAAGAGTCACTTGCTGGTAAAAGCACAGACAATGTATCAGAATAAAAGAAGATCTAATAAATATAAGATATCCTATCACAAAAGAATTAAAATGTTAATAGTTTGGGATCCTTGAGAATGAAATTTCTAGAATTAAAGATGATCTGGGAATGTGCTTGTCTTTAACGTATCTGCCCTAAATAAATATATATATACTACACATATATAATTAGCACTATATCAAATGTACGTATGTATTTGCTATAGTTTATGTGGTTTACAAATAGAGACTTAATATTAAATGAACAACAATTATTTTAAAGACTTACCGTGGCTCATGTTCTCCGTAATGTGCAAACCCGATGTCTGCTGTCTGAGTCCTGTTCCAAACACGAGTTCTTCATTGCTCATAGTGTAGACTCTAGATATTGTGGCTGTACACTTGAGTTTCATGTTCCCACTTCGGAAGTGTTGCTCTGTAACGATGAATTTCAGGCTCAGACTCGAAATCTCAAGACTATCTGCATGTAAAATTGTGGAATGCTCCATCTCATATTCTGGCTTTGCCTATAAAAGTAACATTTCAGAATATTTTTAATATCAATTTTCGTACGCAATTTTTTATACTTGTAGTAAATGCAAGTTAGGCATTTTTACTCTAATTTAGTCTCCCAGCATTTCTTACACTTTAAAGTTTTCAAATAAAAACATTAAAATCCAAGCAAACAAAAGGAAAAAAGCATTGAATCTCTGGATGTAGAGGTTTGAAATTTATATAAATGAGCAACACATGAGTAAAAATAATTATTTTGAACATCTGAAGGAGTATGCTTTGAAAACATAGAAACTGAAAATTCATTATAACTTAATATAAAAACAATTTCTTTGGTTATTGGTTTTTCTTCATCATTTAACTGTTTTTATACAAACTCAAGAATACATTAAGAAAACAATATATTTATATATAACTCATCCTATGCTACATGGTCTACCTATTCCTGTATTAAATGCCTATGGAATAAACATCAGTGTATGTCCGTCCGCTGCCTATGAAATTAGGGCACGGAATTTTGAATTCGCTTTATACAATATGTGAAAAGCTATCACCGAATGTTTTTTTTTTTTTTTTTTTTTTTTTTTTTTAATAATTTATTCAGCTCAGAAAAATGTCACATGCAAATAAAATTTCATGAAAAAGTATTAAGTAGTCATTTGGGCAAACCTCTACTGTAGTAAATGTTCTTTTTAACTTTAGGGCTTCGGTTTGACCCAGTTGCCAAATTTGTCGAATACCAAAATATTGCAGCGAAACAATTTAATAATTTATTTAACCTGTTATAAAAATGCAAAACGTTACAATGAGCTGTACATAAAAATAACTTTAAAATTATATGAGTTAAATAATACTACCTAATGCGCATCATTTATAATTTTTTTATAATTAACGTTGTTGAATCTACCATATTGTTGTTAAATTCAGTTTTCAATGTTCGAATATCCATCTCCTTGCAACATATCACTAAGGAAAATATGATGATGTAATACTTCTCCAATAGTTTTCTGATTATTATGCTTCGTAAGATCGTTTTAATGCAGCAGCTGACTCGACTTAACTACGTTAATCGATTCAATAAATTTAATCTTCAGAATGTGTGACTAGAGAGCTTTCAAAAGAACATTTTGAGCTAAGTTAAGCGTTTTACAGTGGCTTACTACTAAATTATCAATATTATTATTTTTCTCGACAGAAAGTAATTACATAACATACAGCCAACCTAATGCTAATCCCAAAAGTAATGTCGAAAGCTTCCGATTACTTCTGTGGCAAGCTTGTAGTCCCCACAGATAACAATTATATTAGATATTCTCTTGCAGGAATATCGGATGTTCCGAATTATTGGATGTCCGATTATCGTACTTCTATGTATATTAGAAAAATTAGCGTACATAGCTACAGCTAGAAAATAGCATACATACAAAAATATTGCATATTTTGATAAGATAGTTAAAATATTGAATAATTTAAGCACTAAATATATAGGTTTTTCGACATCATTTATGATACTAATTAAGTCAAACAACAAAAATCAGCGTTAATTTTCAAAATTTTCGCAGGACTAGTTTCGATGGTTTCACCGAACCTCCATCCTCAGCTGCAAAACCGCAAATGAACAAGATAGGAAATAATGATTAGATAAGAAAAGAAAGCCTGGACAATAATAAGCAAGTGGTGCCATCTGTTGTTGAAACCAGAACTAAAACATAATTTCTTTAAAGGCCATTTCACATTCAGAAAAATCTTTCTGTTCTTGTTAACGATCCTGATTCCAATCCATCTTTGCCTTTGGCCTTTAAAGAAATTCTGTTTTAGTTCTTTTTTCACCAACAGATGGCGCCACCTGCTTATTCTTGTCCAGGTTTTCTTATCTTATATAATGATTATTTCCTATCTTGTTCATTTGCAGTTTTGCAGCTGAGGATGGTGGTTCGGTAAAACCATCGAAACTAGTCCTGCGAAAATTTTGAAAATTAACGCTGATATTTGTTGTTTGACTTCTGAATTAGTACTTATTCCGCGTGTTATTGTGTCTTAATTATCATTTATGATAGTTTCCTGGTTTGATAAACGTTTAGCCCACATGCAAATATTTTGAATAGTTACAGTCTTCCTTAAGTCTGATCTAATATGATAGATTAAAATTTTAAATAAATTCATAGATCTGTAGTCAAGCAAAGAAATGTTTTAATCCCAACTTGTGGTTAATTAAATTAAAATGATAAAAATAAACATCGGCTACACACAGATTAATGGAAAAATGGAAAATTAATTTTATTATGTACAGTTAAGCTTACCTTAAACCTGGAAGAAAAAAGGAAATATTCTTATTTATTCAAAAATTAATTAAATTTAAACGATAACTGATAAGTATTTTTAAAAGAAAATAAATGGAAAAAAAGCTCAAAAGGGTTTTTTTAAAGTTTAATATGGTTCGTCAGTAGAGAAAATCAATAGACATGTCCAGGTGGAATAATGGAACATTTTTATAGGATACTTGTTCAATAAACATTTAGACTAACATGTAAACATTATACGTATATCTTCTGTATATTTTAAAAATGCAAAAACATATAACGTAATTCTATAAAAATATTTAATGTTTTTAATTAGGTGAAACATGATACACGTTCCTTTTTTTTAAATCAGTCAGAATAAAAAGTGAAGTGTTATATTCTTAAGAATTAACTGAATCCATTCCTTTTAAATAGCATAGTTTGTTTTATCAATAAACATATATTATAATTGAAAGATAAATATCTTTCATTTTGCCGAATGACAACAGACTCGAAAGGAAAGTTAAACAACACATTTACTGTGAAAGACATTTAAAGTGAACCAACGCAAAATCGTCTTTAGAGACTCTCGAACACGACCGAATAATTTGAGCTTTGGCTTAAAATGTCCTATTTCGAAACTTTGACTAAATTTTTTTGCCAGGAAAAAGTTACGTATAATTGTTTGTTATTTGTTTTTCATGCAAAATGCTTAACAAAAGCTATGAAATATTTTTACAAATTAAAGTAATTAAATTAAATTTTTATCATTAAATTAAATTTTAATTGTAATTTAAAAACTAACAAAATTTGAATCTAAGAGGAACATATTTGAATTGAAATGAAATTTTATTTAGCATTTATAGGTAAATAAAGTTCATATTCTACTGTCTATAAGTCTATTCATAAAGGTGTTTATTTATTCATTGCGTTTCATATTTGATGCTAATACACTCTAAATTTGAAAGTTTACATAGAACATAATAACATGTTAATTTCACCACCTTCTGTATAAGTAATCATATGTAATGTAGAAAATGTACATTTTCTATGATCAACTATTCGGTATTTTTTTTTTTTTTTTTTTTTTAAAAAGGGAGAAATTATATTGTTGAACATCACTCTTTGAATTAGAATGTGAGATCCAGTAGAACTGTGTTAGATAAAGAAATGCGCTAATTTTAAAGCTAAATTTTAAAGCTAAAATTTTAAAGCTAAATTTTAAATACGCTAAAAAAGGAAGAGGAAAATAAAAAATATACCTATTGTTTAGTTACTATACTGTTTATGTTATTTTCCATGAAATTATTTTGTTTATTCTCGTTTGATATTTTCTCGTTTAAAATTGTTTCATGATTTCATCACACAATGAGAGTAGGGAAAATAGCACTACATTGAAATCCCCATTATCATTTTAAAGTTCTCAGTTTTGTGTATTAATTTGCAACTCTAAATGTACTGGAAAAATAAAAAGCATTATCATCCTCTGATGTTCTACCAATTCTCAGATGGGTATATCAGAAAATAAGGTGGGATGAATAATCATCCCTGATTAATTGTCATCATTCCACAAGTGTCAACACTGCCATTCAACGCACTCATTTGACACTTTCGATTTCGTCTTTAACAGTGTGACAAACTTAAAGCCATGTTGCTGAAACAAAACCAGGATACTGCCGTGCCTTTTTCTGTTTTAACGCGTAGTGAATCTCATTGTTAATGCATGTTACGAAGTTAGAAGGTTAAAGCTAATTCGTGTCCGAGTTCAGATATTCCACTGAACGTGAACGGCAAATATTCTGCGAAGGAAAAGATATGGCATTACGAATGTAATTTCTAGGTTACAGTATAAGAAACGGAATATTTGAAGACTGGTTGAAGTAAAAAAATATAATGATGAGTATTATAGATATGAAGTGATATTGGGGGGGAGGCAGCCCGATACTCTTTGCAGGATTTTCCAGTGGTCTTCTCATGACCTTCCCCAGAGAAATCCAGAAACAACAACCACCACCAGCGCCAACAAGAGCGTTTAGAAAAACATAAGAAAATATGAGTTACAAAATACAACCAGAAGGTACTACGACATACATCTTTGTTTTATCAAATTTCACACATTGATAAAGGAAAGCAGAAAAACAAAAAGAACCTATAGACGTATATCAATCAGCCTAAGATAAGCCTAAGATCAGTATAGTAATTTTAAAATAGCGAGTAAGAATGTGGGAAGATCATCCTGAAACATGATTTTAATGCGGGGTCACACTGAGCCACTAGGATATATAGATGAGTTCTTGAAAATTCAAGAACTCATCTATATATCTATAACCAATATACAAGTCTATAACCTAAAAAACTATAAAACTTGGATTGCTTAAATTATATCATCGGTGCACCCAGCACTCAATAAAATGGAGAGAGAATATTAACATTACAATGTTCATATGAAGAGACACTGGGAAGTTTTCAGAAAGAAATAAAGGTAGTCTTTCTTAAGTTTTATCGCCATGTGTAGCTAAACACATAAGCTTAATTTGCTTAGGATTTAACATACGATTCATTTGCAGTTCCTAAACATATATTTATAATAACATGCTAGTCTTTTAATTAAATAATTTTTTTTTAATTACGTGCTTTCTTCAGCATTTATTGCAGCCCAGGACTTCAAATAACGCCTTAATAATATGTTTGCTCACCGTTGTTCTTATGTACAATGGATACAAAGCAATCATATG